TTGTTTAATTGTTGAAACCTCTATACATTAATCTCTGATTAGTAGTCCGATTGAATAATTTTTGAACAATGTGCTCTCAAACATTCAAAACTTAGGGATAAAGTTAAGTATTAAATAATTGCTCTATAGGTATTTAATCCTAGTTATACAAATCCATAATTGTTTATCAGAATGTTACATCTTAGTTTGTTCTCTAAAAGTTGATATAGAAATATTTTTGTGCTTGAGATCTCAAGTGAATTTTGTATTATCTAAGACTTCAAATAATTTCCAATGGGAATAGTTTAAGCCAGGCAACAGTTAAATAAGAGTTAATATTGAAGTAAGTTTTAATGCACTTAACTATCACCTGATGACTTAATCAAAACCAGTCTTATATTTTATTCTGTATATGCACGTAGATCATGATTAGGCATGCCCAAAGTTGGAGTTTGTGTTACTGTAATATTACTTTTATCAATAATGAGGTATTATAGTGTTAAGCTTTTTAATAGGGGGTAATATTACTTTCCACAAAAAGAAAAGTTTGTTTATATTCTCTCTATTGTTCATTTAAGTTAGTGCTCCTTCTTTGTTAGTCAAAGTAAGTTTTTTAATTTCTAAATTATAAGCCAATAAAACATCAATGTTTTGTCAAAAATGATTTTCCTTTGAGTAATTGCAAAAACAAATTTCAGAAAGCAGTTCACAAAGTGGTTTCCATGTAAAATTTATCAGCCCTGGTGTCTTAGTTTTGTTATCTCGCTAATTGCACACTCTGAAGTTACTGTAGACCTAATTGTTAATAATATTTAACAGAAGTTTACTCTGTTGTTAACCAACCTGACTAACTTACTGATTAACTTTACACAATCAGTCTTTTCTTGATCAAAAACTATCTTTCACACACTCAATTACTTCACTTAATTCTCAATCATTACTTTAACTTCTCGGAAACTTTACTAACTCCTCATTTATTGATCATTCATATTTATAAACAACATACCCTTACTGTATAATAGTCAAAATTATTAGATTCTTGATGCCATCATGACTGTTTTGGTAATTTAGGACTACTTTTATACACTTGCTTGATCATAATATTATGCACCCTCTAGCCTATATTTAAATCAAAACATTAATAAAATACTACTTACAACAGTATCATTCCAAATTCTGTTGGTTTTTTATGTCAGCAATTACTGAGTGTTTCTCGGAGTGTGATTATTGTCATTATCTTGAAACCTGATGCCATATTCTTAAGAAATTGTTTTTGTTGTGTTGCTGTTTAACACATAGACAGACAACATAATTGTAATTTGAACTCCCAACAAAGCATCAGTTAATTTAATAGTTTATCCTGTCAATTTGCTAATATTGATACAGGCAACAAAAATGGGTAGTGGAAAGTCGTATATGTTAAACTTGTAATGTAAAATATGATCTAACTGGTGAACAATGTAGTAGTGTAATAGAACTGAACATGTCAATTACAGACAGTAATTGACATGTTCAGTTCTATTGACAGTGATACAGTAATGAGTTTTATTGGAAGAACCTGCAATATTGTTGTAGTATTTTGCTGAAGGTATGGTAACTAATGTGAGGAGTAATTAAACTGTTTTTCTTTTGGTCTAAAATTTAAAGTAATGTTGTATGTCATTTCTAGGAGTTAACTTTTATATATAATCAGGGTAATGAATAGTTAGTTATGTTTTTAGAGACATAAGAATGTAAAGGACTAGTTTTTCTTTGGAATCAATAATTCAGTTTTTTATTTTTTCATTAAATGAATTTTTATATTGTATATTAAACTTTGTTGAATGAGTAATTATATAATTATTCCAAATGTTACTGTTTGCAAAAAGGCACGATATAACTGATTTCTGTTCAGATTGAACAGGTTATCAGTACTTCATCATGAACAAGTGTATTCAAATATACAAGAAACAAGTTCTTTAAACTTGTACTCATTTTTGTTTTACAGTTTTGGTATAGCAGGCCAAACAAACATTCAAGGAGAAGAAGTAAAAAAACTGGATGTTCTTGCCAATGATTTATTTATAAATATGCTTAAATCATCTTTCACTACCTGTCTTCTTATTTCTGAAGAAAATGAACAAAGCATTGAAGTTGAAACTGACAAGAGAGGAAAGTACATTGTCTGTTTTGATCCACTAGATGGCTCTTCAAACATAGACTGCCTTGTTTCAATAGGATCTATCTTTGCTATATATCGTAAGGTAAGTATAAATCCTGTTTTTCAGAATTAAAAACATTTAACTTCTATCACTTTAATGAATTTGAATTAATTCAGCCTTCTTGTTTTTTCTATACACCCGTATATGCATGTATTTGTAATGTAGCATGAATCAAGCTATAAGCATGTGTTTAGTTAAGTTATATTCACTCGCACTTTCCTACCTGATGCTTAAAAAGCTGTTTTATGATCTGATAATTCTAGTTAATTAACTCATCCTGTTGTCCACTTGGCCTGGTTTTGTTTTTCATATCATTTCTTAACTTGTCAGTAATAAATGAACCATACTTAGACATTTTGGTGAACTTGATAAATTAAAAATGAGCAGTTATAAAGTATAAATGCTGCAGTGATCAACTATATTTTGTGCTACATACTGGACCCTCATTTATTCTTAATCTTTTAGAACAATGAGGATGGATGAAAAAGAATATCATACTCTTAGTATTGTGACTGGGATTTGTACCATCCACAAATTTATACTAGTCTTAGTTTCATTTACAAGAAGATTAAAGAATAATCAAATACTTGGACAAATTTAACTCCAGCATACATTTTGTATTAATTGTTATTGACAAAAGTGAATGGGAACAACTCAGTCTAGTGTCATGTTAACTCCTATTAGATATACCATACTAAAACACAATTTTTAAGTTTGTGCAATTTACAAGTCCATAATTATGCAGGCACCTCTGTGATAATTAACCACATCTTGCATGTCATGCTTGTCCTTAAATGAAGCTACTACAAACATTATCTGCTCTGGGTAGTGCTCATTAGTTCGTATAGTATTCTATACACCGAAATGCATTTTAAGTTGTCAGTCATGTTTAAAGAGTGAAAAAGAGAAGTTAAAAAAAAAAAAAAATAATGCTAGTTTGTTATAAGAGTGATTTAAGTGTATAGTACAATATGGGTTTTGATACATTATGTAGTATTTTGTGTGTATAATCTTTTTCTAACCAGACATCCACTGGACCACCAGTAGAGCAGGATGGGCTTCAGAGTGGAAGAAACATTGTAGCTGCTGGTTATGCTTTGTATGGAAGTGCTACAATGGTGGTTTTATCAACAGGCAACGGAGTCAATGGTTTTATGTTGGACCCTGTATGTAACAACTTTACTGTTAATGTTAATTATTGTAAAATAGAACTAAATATAATCACCCATTCAGGATTGGAATAGTTTCAAAAGTTCATTGTAAATAAATGTAAAACTTGTTCTCATATTGTCACTAAAAGAAAGTCATAATTTTCAATAGGATTTTGCATAAATTTAGAATTTTAAGTCCTATCTATTAAAATTCTGAGATCACTTAAGATAACATTCTCATCTGACACAGAACTAAAACAATCAATTATAGTAAGTTTACATTAGGAAGTATTGTAATAGAAATGTTTTAGTTCTTTTCAATTTCCAAACATGAGCAGGCTGTAATCTCTGATACATTTCACAGTAGTTTGTCATGTTTAAAAGTAAAAAAAACCTGGAAATGGGTAATGTGTGCACTTATGCTAATATCTGTGAAGGTTTTATAAAACTGTTTATATATAAATCCAAGAAAAATGATAATGTAATTTTTTTTTCTATGAAGTTTTGTCATGTTGCACATTAAACCTAAAAGCAGGTGTTGAAAATACTGTGTACCTGTTGGATATACACAACTGCTTGAATTTAAGTATAGCATGAGGGTTAAATTTAGTTATTTTTAGAAGCAATAGTTTGTCAACTTTGCTTATGTAACTTTATGAATCATATGTTATATTAATGTGTCATGTTACTAGAACCTTAAGTTTCCTCATTGTTTTAATTAAGTATTATTGCATCATAATATCTTGTAGTGTATGGAACATACTAGGCCTCTGTCGGGTTATAAGTATGTGTCTGAAATGAGTTTGAATTAGTTAGTTAGTTAGATCTAGACTGCATGATTGTTATTGCAATACAATCTGTGATAATTTCACTTCAGAAATCCCCATTAAACTTAGAGTAGAGAATAATAATTAGTCATTTGTGTTCAAAGTAATTGAAAAAGCCTGTGTGGACTTCAATGAAAGAAAATTATTTAAAGTACTGGATACAACTCTTATAACCAACAGTGTGCTGAACATTTGTATATACATTTGACTTGTTTTAATATATTATTTGAAAACAAGTGTTCTGTTTATTTTTTGTGGAAATTTATTGCCAACAAGTCTCAAACACCTACTGTAAAGAATCATGCCCATTCTTGCATATAAAACTTGACATTGGTGAGTCAGTCACGATCTATGTAGTAAACGGCAATAGACACAAACGTACATAGTAGGCCTATATATGCACAGCTGTAGTGGTGGTGAAAACATTTTGGAGATTACAACTAGGCTATACAACTATGTCAGCTGATTTTGACAAGTGGATGGAAAGGGATGATCGACTTGGGCTTAAACTTGGTGATCTGCAAGAATTTGTTAAACAACAAAGAGAGAGAGAGAGACAGAAGAGCATCAACAGAGGAGAGAGGAAGAAAGACTGAGAGAAGAACATGAATGTGAAATACAAACCCAAAAAGTTGTGGAAGAAGGAAAGGAGAAACTTGGAAATAGAATAAGAACACAAAATACAATTACCAAAAGAAAGACGTAGGACCCAAGAGTAACAATGGGGTTAGAGCCAGCTGACCCAGTCTGTCTAAATTTAATGAACAGAAAGATGACGTGGATGATTTCCTGGATAGGTATGAAAGATTCTCCCAAAGTTAGAACTGGGACTAAAACAACTGGGCAGACTGTTTCAGACCCCTTCTTATGGGAAAAGGCCTACAAGTGTATGCAGGCATGATGTCAGAAGATGCCATAAACTATGAAAAGTTAAATGGCCTTGTTGTAATACTATGAACTTAACCGAGGAAAATTTGTTAGCTTTGTTTGTTTGTTTGTTGTTGTTTTTTTCTCTCTCTCTCTCCTGAAAACTCAAAGAAATCAAACCTGACATAGGAGAAACTGTTTCAGTTTACAGAGATACTTCTTTGAAAGACTGATAGATCTACTAATACAAGATCACCTAAAGATGTGGACAGGATGAACAAGCTGACAGAACAATATATGGAAGCCCATGGAGGGGAGTATAACTGGCAAGTGCAAGAATAACCAGGGGTGGCTGACCCGAAGTAGGATGCCAGCAAAGGTGACAAGAAGCCAACAGACAAAAGGGAGAAGAGATTTTATACTAGTTATAAAATGTGGCACACTGAGTGAGTGCAAGTCTGTCACCAACAAACAGAAAAAATATCAGTATAATGCAGCAAGAGCTACCTGTAAATGTGGTGCTGGCAAGAAACAAGAAAAGAGTGACTGTCACCATGGATGCTGCTGCCAGAAGAAGCAGAATAGAGAACTTGTTAGATGCACCACAAGAAGGAAGTGCTATCACCATGAATAAACAGTACATGGTTGATGGTCAGCTCAAGTTAACAAATGGAATAAGAATAGTACCAGTGGTGATTGGAGAATGTGACAAACATCGAGAGGTGCCAATAAGCCATAACATGCCAGTAGGTGAAGGCTATGTTGGGGTAAGAAAGTTAAAGGCCTATGAGACACTATGTGCAGTATTGAGAACCAGTCTAGTATCTGATGACCAGATGAAGGACAAGGTACAAATCTGTGTGTGTTGGTTGATGGGACAGTGGGAAAGTTTCCCATATCAAGAATAAAGGTTGACACTCCATGCTACAGGCAAGACCTTAAGGCATTGTGTTCAATGGCACCCATCTATGACTTTGGGATTGACAATATACCAGGCAGTAGAAGTTTGGAGGAACCAGACAGAAAGGAGACTGACTCATCTACAGTCACCATAAGAGCTCAAGAAAAGAAGAGTAAGACATCAAGCCTCTGCAAGTCTTGAAAGATGACATTCTGAATGTAGGTCTACAGGAACTGAAGAAAGACCCTTTGCTGCTGAAACTTTTGGACAGTGCCTGCAAAAAATTTGAACATAAGACCAATGGGAAAGTGACTTACAGAATAGAGAACTGGAAGGGAATGTTGTTACCAGATCTATCAATACAGTTCTACTGAAGAAATTAAACAGATCATAGTACCAACAGAATACTGGACTTGAATTAAGTTAGCTCATGAGTTGATTGTAGGAGGGCACCTAGGAGCAAAGAATATGGTAGACAATCATCAGCAACTTCCATTGACCATGGAGTCATCAGAGATGTGACCACATTCTGCAGGTCCTGTGACATCTGCCTAGAGGGAAGGTGCCACTGGGTGAATGCATCTCATAGAAGAGCTGTTCAGCAGAGTAGATGTGGGCTTTATCAGATTACTAGCACCTGTATCCAACAAGGGCAACAGGTGTGGTAACAGTAGTCAACTGTGTGACACATTACCCAAAAGCCATAGAAATGCCAAAGATAGTGTAGCAGAAATCCTCCTGGAAGTGTTCTGCAGAGTAAACTTTCCAAAAGAAGTCTTGTGTGACAGAGGGACCCAGTTTACTTCAGAACTGATGTGAGAGATGTGCAGACTCATCAGCACTAGGCAACTCTTTACAACCCCAGATATAATGGACTTTTTGAGAGTCAATAGTATTAAAGAGCAAGCTGGAGATGTACCAGGTATCCAGTCATGGTGAAGCCCTACCAGATGCCCTATGCAATGACAGACCTGATTGAGCAAGAAGTTGAGGTAATGTTAGAAGCCGGAATCATTGAGCCTTCGAATTTAGCCTACTGTTCACTGATGATAATTGTGAAGAAGAGTAATGGCTCAAACCACTTCTGTATAGTTTTCCCTGAAGATAACCTTGTGACGAAGTTTGACATCAAACCTCTGGGCAACCTATAGGCTATCATGGCAAAATTAGACAGGGCCAAGTTCTCTTCTAAAATTGACCTCAGTAAAGGTTATTGGCATCTCCCAATGGGGGACAGGATCTAAAGAGAAGGCCTTTGAAACCAGATGGATGCTACCAATTCAAGAGGATGCTGTTTGGTTTAGTCAACTTAATAGTATGATGAGGAAAATATTGCACAAAACCACCAACATCAAGCATTATGTGGATGACTTTCTCACCCACACAGCCAGGTGGGAAGGCCACCTGAATAAACTTGGAGAGCTGTTCAGTTGAGGGAGGGCAACAGGTCTGGCCATCACACCATCTAAGTGCTATATCAGTTATTCTGTGCTGAACTGTGTTGGACACAAGGTGGGTGACTGACAGATAGCCATGGAAGAAGAGAAGCTAACCCACATACAAGATGCACCAATTTGGACAACTAAGCAGTATGTCATATCATTCCTGGGGTTAGTGAGATACTGTAGGAAGTTCATCCACTGAAGTTGCTACACCACTCACTGACCTAACCAAGAGAAGCCAACCCAACAAAATGAAATGGAAACAACCACAACAGATGGCATTCCAAAAGTTGAATATGTCAGTCCTTAGAATGCCAGACTTGAACATATAGTTCATCATTCAGGCCAATGCATCAGATGCTGGAATTGGAGCAGTACTTCTCCAAAAACATTTAGATGGTCTGTTTCCCATAATGTATGTCGGTACATTTGTGGAGTAGTGAAAACTACTACTCTGATTGAATGGAGGTGTCTGGCTATCATATTTGCTATCTGGAAATTTCAGAACTACTGCTACAGAAAGAAATTCATCATCCAGATGTACTGTCAGCCCCTTGCATACATCCATAGGTACAAAATTGACAGTGCAAGGATTACAAGGTGGCTGTTATACATCCAGAACCACCAGTTTCACATTGAGGCCATCAAGGGGACTGCAGATGTTGGTGCAGACTGTATGAGCAGACTTTGCATGAACTGAAGATAGTCTTTGATATATTATATTAAAACAAAAAAACAATTGTAACTATTTTTCTTGAAAAGGGGCATATTGTTAGATATACATGACTGTTTCATTTTAAGTATAGTGCAAGTTTTAACATTGTTTTTAAACAATAATTTATTGCAAGTCATATGTTGTGTAGTTAAATTATAAATTGGTAATTGTCATCTCACTAGAACCTTAAGTTTTTTGTTGTTTTAGTTGAGTATTGTTGCATCATAGTATCTTGTACTGTGTGTGTGTGAATGTTCTAGGCCTCTGTCAGGCTATAAATATACATCCAAGATGTAGATGAAGCTAGTTGGTTAGATCTAGACTGCATAATTGTAATGTAGTGGTGATTTTTTAAAGTGAAATTATCACAGATTGTATTGCAATAACAGAGTAGAGAAGAATAATTGTTCTTGTCAATTGAAGCAGTCTGCCTGATCTTTGGCAAAAAAAAGAAGACAATTAGTTAAAGCTCTGGATACAACTTTTATAACCAATGGTGTAATGAACATTTGAATGTATGTTTGTCTTGTTTTAATATATTTTAAAACAAGTCAGTCACCTGCTATGAAGAATCTGGCTCCTACATTAAAACCTGACAATACCAAAATTGAGCACAGCTTAGAGAATTCTATTTTATAATGGTTTTTATTCACTATACATTGTTCGCATTGAAAATGTGCTCTTTCCAGTGTGACTTGTTTCCTTATTGGCCATAATGCTTACTAAAATTTACTGTTACTTTTCTATTATATTTAACATTTCTAAATTAATAAGGTTTCATAAATGAAATATTTTGTTATAAAGGTCATTAGTTTCACAAACAATATTAAAAATAGAATCTTGTACCAAAAGGTTAATTAGATTCCTTTTTTGATATTTTATTTATTGATACTTTGCATATCTAAAATCTTTTTTTTTTATTAAGGCTATTGGAGAATTTATTCTCACTGACCCCAATATGACTGTTAAACCCAGAGGAAAAATCTACAGCATTAATGAGGGCTACTCCAGTTTGTGGGATAAAGCTGTAACGGAATATGTGCGCAGGAAGAAATACCCACAAGTGAGTTTGTATTTCAAACTTTCTAAATCCTGGTATCATGGTTTTAAACCAGTTGTTTAAATCTCTCAATACAGGGTCAGTCACAGGGACTGACCACGGGACCATTTTTACTTGTAAATAGTTTTTATACAGTGTGTATCTTCACAAAATTTGGCAGACTTTTAGAACACATTAGAAGTATTTTGTACACAATCATTTTTTTTAATGAAGTGTTTTTACGAAAGATTTGTCCGTGAATATATAGAGTATTTGTTTTGAATACTCTGTGTGCAAAGTGATTTTCATGTTAAGATTAAAAATAATTTTATTCTTCTCAAAAATCTTGGATTCAATTTGCATATTGAAACCTCCTCAATACAATTCAAATCTTTGTTTTTCACTACCCTAAATCCATACAACATTGGTCAATTTGACCAACCTCATAACCACAAAAAATAAATAAATGTAAATTAGCCTTTTTTTTTTTCTTTTCTTTTACTTCTTTCTGGAATGACTTCAAATTGTAACATGAAACTACATTTATGATTAAATGTTATTGTTTTATTGCCCTTTGAACTGTATCTAACTACTATCCATGCCATTATAAGTTGTAACTCTCTCTGGAATGTGTAGCTAACATTACGCTATTGAATTACACTGCCCACAAGGTGCTTGTGTGTGTCTCATAATTTTTATTATAATATTATTATTTTACCCCATCTAATCTTAACTAATCTAAAAAATCCATATTTTTACATTTTAGCTACTTTTATAATAAAAAAATAAACATGTAAAAACAAGAAATAAAGTGCTTAATCTTTTTTCTTGCTGTCGATTGTCAGTGACACTTAACCCTACTTTTTTATATATATATATACACGCACACACACACACACACACACACACACACACACACACACACACACACACACACACACACACACACACACACACACACACACACACACACACACACTAATGTAGTAATGTACTAAATCATTTTTATTTAATTAAATAATGCACCAAAGAACATAGACTACTAACGTGCAAAAAAAAGTAGACAAGTTCACAACTCTCAATGTTTCTGGTTTTTCTAACTATGCAAAAAGAGCCGTTACAAATTCATCCAAGCTAGTCTTTACCATTCCCATGGGAATGAAAGATGCATAGAGAATGTGTCACACTAGGTGAAATTCAGGATTTTTTTTTTCTAATATTGCCATATAAACTTAAGAACTTAACTTTTATACTATTGAAATATAGATATAACTAAGATTTTATACTGTACTAATTGGTATAACATAAGTAGATTAACAAAATTTTGAATTTAAGTCACTAAAACCTCGTGACTTGTGTAAATGTTTTTTTTATAAGCTGTTTTGGTTTATTTTATCTGTGTGGCATGTACTTGTGTGACTAGGCTGCTTTATTGTTTCTACTCGTGAGGTGTGGGTCATACTAAAGTGACTAGGTAGGTGGGGCAGAATGTTGTATAAGCTGGCATGAGCTGAGTTAATCACCCTTGAATATGACACTAGAATTATTAGTAACTTGGATAATCTAGGATTATGACCCATTGCAGAAAAATTTTCTTTCTTTACATTTATACTTAAATATTTTCCTTCCCATTTCTGCTCATTTTACATTTATTCCTCTGTAAACATTATCTTTGAGTCTTGGTTATCTGTATGATACAGTTCTGCCTATGAATACTGCAAAACTGCCACAGTACATCTTGCTTTGATATCAGTTGATCATCATGCATGAAAAATTTCCTTCTGTAATTGCATGACATTAATTGCTGAGGAATGTGTGTCTCTGCTTAATACAATATTACTATATTTCTAGTTGGGGATTCTCTTCACCTTCAGAGAGTAATACGGAAAATTAATTTTTGTGACAGTAATTAAGTGTAAATGAAGAAAGTTTCCGTGTAATGGAAAATTTTGCACCCAAAAGAATTAACTGCTCTGAAATTTAGCCTCTATTGCCCCTAATGTTTTCTAATATTCTGTCTTTAAAGTTAACTTGTTTTCTCATGTGATACAACTTTTAAATTGTTAAAGTAATTATCTTTACACTGTGAATTGTAGAGTGGAAAACCTTATGGTGCAAGATACATTGGTTCTATGGTGGCTGATGTCCATAGAACATTGAAGTATGGAGGTATATTCATGTATCCTGCGACAAAGGATTCCCCAAATGGAAAGGTAAACCTTGATTATGTATGAATTATCCCACTGTTTCAGTGTCAAGAAAAGTTATGAAAACATGATTAAGTAATGAGAAGTTTAGCTATGGTACAATCACAAATACATTCACTATGTACAACTAAACTTTGACATAATCAACTATATTATGAACCATTTTAATGGTGTGTGGATTATTGGTTAATGATTTCATCTTCATTGCTGCTTTACTGAGTTTGTAGTTTTTATTGTCATCCTATTCTTATTTCTGAGCTTACTTTTGGATAACCAAAAATTTGTATGATACTTTTAACCCTTTCTTGTCAATATTGTTTCATTTCTAAAGTTGTATCTGGTTTCTAAAGTAATTTGAATTGTCTTCAAAGTTAGAATTGTGTAAATTAAACATGCTTAAAATTCTAGCCTACTGGCTTGTGACAAAACATTATGGAGTTTGCTATATGAATACTTTGTTAGTATACACCTGGAAAAAAGTTAAGCACCCCCGTGTTTTTTAAGTGATTCAGATTCGACGTTCTTGTGACTGATTATAAATTACCATTCAATCTAAACTTGTTTATCAAATGAAATTATGCATTATTGGGCACAAGAAAATAAGATTATCACCGTAAAAATAACAATTTTTAGTTTACATATCATTAC